CTCTTAATATGTGCATTTAATCGTTTCCTGATCATACCTCAAGAACGCTGAACATTTTTTAATACTTAATTTAATAATACTGTAAATTTTTAAACTTCCAAATGAAAAAGCATAAAATAAAATCTGTAGTATCTTAAGTTCACTCATATTTCTAGGTTCCAGATGCTAAGTATACAAAGGCAGAAAACGACAGGTCTCAACTATGAGAACAGAAGGCACATGAACATATTCGCTCTTATTTTAAGATTTGTTTACTTGGAGAGGGGGAGGGGACAACAGAGAGCATTGTGCAAGCACAGGGAGGGGAGAGGGAGCGGGAGAGAGAAACTTCAGCAGACCCCACACTGAGCGTGGACCCCACAGGGGGCCCCATCTCATAACACTGAGATCATGACCTGAGCCAAAACCAAGAGCTGGACGCTTAACCGACTGTGTCACCCAGATACCCCGACGTACACATTCTTACACGCACATATTAAACGGTCACTGAAATTACTCACTCTTGTGAATATGGCCCTCTCGAGTCAACTGATTTAATCCTCACAACCCTATCGGTAAGTTTAATTATTACTGCCATTTTATAGATGAGACAATGGAGACAGAGTTAAGTAAGCTGACCAAAGTTACAAAACCAAAAAGTAATAGGTCAGAATTTAAATCTAGGCTCTATGACTTGACCTATTAGTCTGCTCGGGCTGCCATTACAAAATACCACAGACTGCAGGGTTTAAACAATAGAATTTAATTTTCTCACGGTTCTAGAAGCTGTAAGTTCTTTAAGATCAAGGTGGGGACAGGCTTGGCTTCTCTCAAGGCCTCTGTAAACTTGGCTTGCAAATGGCCACCTTCTTGCTATGTCCTCACCTGGCTTTTTCTCTGTGTGAACACATCCCTGCCCACCTCTTCTTCTTTAAGGAACCTAGTCATATGGAATTGGGGCCCACCCCATTGGCCCTGGTTAATTTGATCATGTCTTTAGAGACTATCTCCAAACACAGTTACCTCGGGAGCCACTGGTGATTGGGATTTCAACACAGGAATTTTGACAGAACACAATTCAACCCATAACACCTGATCACCTCAACGTTACTAGATCCTCCTAAGATCTCGTTTTTGTACTGTAAAACAGTGCTACTGAGAATCCTCTTCGCATAAAATGCTTAGCAATGTCTGGCACATAGTATCATCACTTTATAGACAAGGAAAACATAACTCAGAGAGATGGTGACTTGCCCTGTTTTCATCTCTCAGGTGGAATTCTTACCCTATAGAACACTACTTTCCTGTACAAGCAAATGCATAATCTAGCAGAATTTTATATAATTTATAAATTTTCTGTATCTCTTACTTCCTTTCTCACAGTATTTTTCTTGCTTTGTCATATACAAGGGAGTAAGAAGTTAAAACTAATAAAAATTTCATTAGGATAGTATAATACTTTCCTGGGACTGTGGGTGCCACTTTCATTCATCCTTTCTCCTGATTTGCGAAGGCAACTGGCTATAGTCACAGTGATGAAGCCTCGGAAGATCAAAGCCTACTTTTAACTATTAGAAAAGAAAAGCAACTCCATGTTGTTTTTTTTTAAACTAAGATTATACTTTATGCTTGCCTGGCGCTCTACATCTATTACAGCTGCTTAATCCTCAACACACTCTTATGACCTTGCTTTATTTAGCGCTCGTAAGAAGCATGTGAAGAAGGTATCATTCCCATTTTGTAGCTGAGAGAACAGGCACAGCGCAAGGTTCGGTGTGTTTAAGGTCACACTTGACAACGACTTGACAAGCTTCACAACGACTGGCAGAACCAGAACTCTCACACACATCTTCACGTCTAAAGCCAAGGCTCTCCGCTGTAGGCCACCCTCTCCTTTGGCAAGTGCAATGCCTAGTTTCCTCACTTCTCGTGCTCTACATAAAGAGAGCGGGTGCTTGGCAAATGAGACAGCCTGATTTGGGGCAATGCGGACTAAGCTGCAAAAAAATCTTTTACATCCTTTACACAGGCCAAGTTTCCTGACCACTCTGACCACCACCAATCCCTTGGACCGATAGCTCTTTTAAGGCAGCAACCAGGCCCCCTCTTTCCCAGTGTCCAGCACACTGAGAGCTCATTCAAGTTCAACAGATATCTGAGACATGAGAGTTCGAGTAAATATTTGTTATATAATTGAATCTGAGCACATTCTTCCACTAGTGATGGCAACGGATACTTTTCAGCACAATTCTACAAAAACAGCAACAAAAAGAAACATTCAAAACCTCTCCCATCGTCTACAACAGAGAAGCCTATAGGTTTTTTCCAAAGATTTATTTTAGAGAGAGCGAGAGAGCGAGCGAGCGAGCGAGCACAAGTGGGAGGAGGGGCGGAGGGAGAGACAGACTCCTCAAGCAGACACCCCACTGCATGTGGAGACTAAGAGTCACACGAACCCAGGACGCTGAGATCATGACCTGAGCCAAAATCAAGAGTTGGGACACTTAACCGACTAAGCTACCCAGGGGCCCCTATAGGGTTTTTCCAATCCCTCAACTCTAAGATCCACTGCCGTCCACTCCTAACAGGAGTTGACCTGACCACCACCTTGAACACCCATTCCAGGCACAGTGCAATGGGACTTGCCAGCAGAGAACCAGCAGTGGCTTAGCCTGCGGCATGCTTTCAGGAAAACAATTCTGCATGTGGGGCACGGACATTCTTAATTCCCAGGGGGAACTATAATGGATGAGAAGGTTGATCTGAGAGTGGAATTGCTGTTCAGCAAGGCCCCTGTCTCATAGAAAGGAGCCGTAGTAAGCGAAATCAGGCTAACTTTTAGTTTCTCAAGAATATACCACCGCTTGGATTTTTTTTAAACATCAAGTTGTTTTGCCACAAGCAGCCCAGGCAAGTCTTGACCGCACCGTGGAGACTATCTGACCACTTCTGAGCTGCTGAGTACACAGGGAAGGGACGGGGGCAGAGGTGGCCAGAGCGGTCTTCTAAACTTTGCTCTAAGCCCTCTGACAACTTCAGAGACTTCTGGATGTCCGTTTGTTCATCTCTGTTGTGAACCGGCTATCACCTTCCCGGTTGTGAACCGGCTATCACCTTCCCGGCTACCAATTTCATAGAGCTTTTGAAACAGATTTAAACAAACAAAAAAACAAAAACAAAACAAAATCTGAGGTCCCAGAACTAAAGCATTCAATAAAGAATTGAAAGGATAAAGTATTGGGGTGCCTGGGTAGCTCAGTGGGTTAAAGCCTCTGCCTTCGACTTAGGTCATGATCTCGGGGTCCTGGGATCGAGCCCTGCATCAGGCTCTCTGCTCAGCAGGGAGCCTGCTTCCTCCTCTCTCTCTCTGCCTGCTTCTCTGCCTACTTGTGATCTCTGTCTGTCAAATTAATAAAATCTTAAAAAAAAAAAAAAGACAGGATAAAGGATTATCAGTACTATACTTGCTGTCTGAATTCATCTTTTCAAAGCATTCTCTGATCTGAGGCAGAAAATTGACTAGAAAACTAAAGAGGCACTCTAGGTTACCCTTTCTTTATCAAGGAATCCTACAAATACTCTTTTCTGATGCCTTAATCAAGACAGAAGACATTTCAGAGGGAAATGAAGAGGCATACAAACGGAATAATTCTGCAAATAGCCGAATTAAAATATTTATCCACTTATCACTGTAATATTTACTAAATATATACGATGTACACAAGGTACTGAACTAGATGCTGTAAGGATACAGAATTGTGTAAGAATACAGAATTGTGTAAGAAATGTCTACTCATCTGCCCGTAGAACAACTGGACCATAAGATGAAACTTTTGTTTAGAAAGGATTCAAGTTTCCCTAGGACATGGAAGCACACATTTCTTTTTTTTTCATCATTATGACTCCTGGCCTCACAGAAAAATTTTGGAGAACGCTGGGGGAGAAACTCTTATCTGTTACTTTCCCCTGACAAGTGGCAGCTTTCTCAAGAGTTACACGGCTACAGAATGGCTCTAACTTCCAAAATAACCTGATTAAATCTGACACACACATGACATGGGGGGAGAAAGAAACTCATGTGCCCTTCAGTTTCAATAAGAAAAGTTGAACCGTATTGTCAAGGAAAGCAGGAAGATCAAGATCATGTGGTCTGGAAAGAAGACCGAGAACGATAGGGCGAAAATATTCCAAATAACAGCTAGTCGCTTGGGATTCCTTGAATGCCCTGCCATATTCAATCACATATAGCTACGCAATGAAAGGAAAAGTTAAGGCCTATCTCACGCCTCACTTATGCTACTGACTGAGCTTAAGAAAGAAAATTAAGACAACCTTTTCAAGTTATTCAAAGGCAAATCCGCAGACTGGCCATTTAAGGGAAGGAGCTCATTAGATGGGGGGGGGTAAACACTTGTTTAGCCATTAGTCAACATCTTTACCCAATTAATTTAAAACAGGAAGCCCTAGATTTCCTTAAATTTACCACTATTAGTTTGCTAGAACTGATTGTTCCAACATATAAATTCTTTGTGTGTGTTTACTTTCCCCTCTAGATTTATGGGCTCAAATGTTCTCAAAAATATAACTTCTTAATATCTGCTGCTTTCACTTTTAATATTCTCTTTTCCCAAGCCACAGAACCAATGAGCGTCAACAAATGAAATAACTGCGGAGAACCAGCTCTCCTATCCCGGGATGGGGGGATAAAGAAGGGTTTGTACCCCCAGGCAAACAGAACACCCTCACAATAAGGTCAAGATGACGTGAAGGAATCGACATCACCTCAAATGAAATTCTGTAGTAGTTACAGTTCTGATCTGGCCGGACCCCCTTTCAGGACAGCCCATCATCAAGAACATTGCTGTATTTGGAATTCAGACAGCAAGAATGCACAGCCTCTTCGCAGAAACGGAAAAGGACACTCAGCCAGCTCTACGTCCTGTGGCGTAATTTCACGTGCAGCACACAAACAATTCTTGGTTATTATTTTTTTTTTGTAAATGAAAAGTAGATCAACTTACATGGCTCTCTGGCAATGAACTGAGGTACAGTGTTGGGCAGAGGAGTACTGGGGTTTGGAGTCCCTACTAGTTTGTTCTTGGCCATCTTCGTGTTTGCCTTAGCAAACTCTAGTCGTAGTGTTTGCGGAATTTCAGGATCGAAGCGGATGCCCTTTGGAAATAAAGAACAAATGGAAGATGTTTTCATTTCCTTAGAGTCAAACCGGAATGGTGACAAAATAAACACACCAGTAAATCCTGGCCTAGCCGAAAAAAAGGTCAGCGAGAGCCCTGGTTCTCACTACTTACACAGAATACATGAAAACCTGTAATACCACATGTCCAGAAAAGTCAAGGGAGATTTTTGTTTACTTAATGAAAACATTTAGCTACACGTTTTTTCAATTATTCCTTTTCTTCCTGAACAAAAACATTCAGATTCAGGTTTTAAATATGGACTAGCAAATTCCTATCATAGTGAAAAACTTCAATTAATGGCCACTGATGAGAATAAAATAATTACTGTAAAGCTCTGTGCCTACTGGAAATCGTGGAGCTCTAGGTCCTTTGCAGTGTTCTGACACTGGCCTAAAACAATGTCATTCTTCAATGCTTTAGTTTCATCACCCAGAAGTAAAAGGGAGAAAATTCCCCTCCCTAACTAGAGAGTTTTCTTCATGGTGATATATGTACTGAGTTAGTAAAACAGGAACTAAGATTTAAATGTAACTAGTATCACTTAATCCTAGTTCGCTTGTAAGTTTATATAAAATTTTAATGTCTTGATGTGGTAAAGTCCCAGTTTTGATTAGAGCTGGCCTACTAGCTACATGGCTGGAGAGAAATCAGATTATACTATACAGGCCAAAGACAGGGTAGTAATTTCAATTACCCTTGACCCTATTATTGCAGTTTACCTAAAACAAACATACTCAATAAATAACAAACATTATAAAAACACAAGATTTAGGACAAGATAAGTCTATTTTGAAACCCTCCCACCATTCAAGAATGCTTCCATTGGGGCGCCTGCGTGGCTCAGTCAGTTAAGCATCCGCCTTTGGCTCAGGTCATGATCTCAGGATCCTGGGATCTAGCCCAGAGTCTGGCTCCGTGCTCACCGGGGAGTCTCTGTCTCCCTCTCCCTCTGTCCCTCCACCCCTCCCCCCTTGTGCTTGCCCTCTCAAATAAAATCTTAAAAAAAAAAAATTAAAAAAAGGGAATGCCTCCATCACTAAGTATAATGAATAATATCATATCTATTTTCCAATGTAATGTAGTCCAACAACAGTAACAAAAAGACATCCCAGTAGACTGCTTAATAAATGTGCATCCGAAACAGGCTCAGGTCCCGTGTTTGTCTGTATGGTATGTTCTGGAAGGGGGTAGAGTTCTGAAAAGGTGTATCGTATGAATACGGCTTTTCCATTTAGTGCACATGTGAGCCTATGGGCCCCAAAGTCCCCTTTCTACTTAATTAGCCTCAAGAAAAGTCAAAGCAATTCCCACCAGTAATCAGTAAGAATCTCTATGTACACCAGGATGAACAACTCTGAACTTCGCAGGCTCAGCTCCAAAGCTGGGAAGAAGAGCCTGTGACTGGATGGTAGCAGCAAAACGAGAAATGAGCAGGGAGGAGGAAAGAGAGGTGCTCCGGGAGGTGCCTACAGACATCCTGGGGTGGGTGGAACGTCTCTGGGAGCCTGATTTATCCATTCTGAGAAGAAACCAACTGAAGGTGGCAAACAGGGTGGGCAGGAAGAGAAGGAACCCGCTTTGCACAGCCCTAACTGACAGCAAGAAGAGAAAAGGGGGGTGCCAGTTATAAGAAGTGTAAAAAGAACTTCTATCCCCAACTGGTCTCAGCTTTTGTTTCAACTTAGGAAACCTCAGTATTATCTTGCCAAAGACGTCTATGAGGAAGAGAAACAAAGCAGCATTCTGAAGCATTTCACTCTATCAAAGCTAATATCACCACAGAATAAATATTGCCAAATACGGACCCAAAGAGCGTCGTCTTTGCTGGGAGACTAATGTAGTCAGTGCCCGGCTATCATGTAAGGGGATGCTGTGGAAGGACTCGAGTACTCACAAGACACCCCATGAGCTCACACGGTAACGATCTACCATCAATTTCAAGGTGTCCTCCTTGGCGGTCAACTCCACCAACCTTCCTGTAAAGAAGGAACTTTCCTAAACCTGAGCCCACGTCACCTTGGTCACTGTGGTCAAGGCCCCAGTAGCCTGAGAAGAGCATCCTGGGACCGGCCAGTGGTCCTCTGGAGCTTCTAGCCTGGACAACAAGGAGGTAATGAGGCGGCACATCTGAATTCTGCGTCCCAGCTCTTCCCCTCATGTCCCGGAGTCAACAGAAGCTCTGCACAACATGCTTGCCTCTCACGCCACCTGGACTGGTGGCTTGTGTCCTAAGACATGCTGAATTGAGTCTCCCCCATTCCCTCTTCATATCCCTCCTCCCTGTGTGAGCTCAAGGAACAACACCATCATGTTCCAAATCAGAGTTCCAGCTCCTTATTTAAAAAAAAAAAAAGCAAGCTCAGAATTAAAATGACCTAATTTGTTTGGCAGCTTATTCAGAGGCCGGAGGCTTAGAATACAAGCCGCATTCCGCTAGCATCTTTAGCAGCAATACCATATTTGGTAATCAATATCCTGCTTGGCTCACTTCCTACCCAGAGGGATCAGCCAAGCCAAAAACATTCTAAATGTTAAAGGATGATGAAGAGGGGGAGAGGGGAGCAGGGCTAGGGAGAACATGGAAATGGAAGGGGAAAAAAAGAGGAAGATAAGGAAACATTAAAAAAAAAAAAGAAAAGAAAAAAGAAAACACACAAAAACACACCAAAAAACCAACCCAACACCTTGTGCTTTTAATTAAAGTCCTAATAAGATTATTCTCTGGCCAGAGTGACTTCACATTAAACCCTGACAGGATAAGATTACTGCCACATCAAGGGGGAACTCTGTGCCTTTCAAAATCAACTTCTTCCCTTTTTGCCTGTAACTCACCAAAACTCCTCTTCTAATGAAGAGAAACCCTCCTCTTACACCTGTAAATGGTAACTTATTTACACAGTTTCTGGCTAACAGCATGATGTCAATCTGAGAATACAGTTACTTAGAAGCAACCTAATCTGACTGACTAGGCTACAGGGACAGCCAACAGTCTCTCTTCAAGGGGACCTGAAACACACTCACCAAACCAATACAGGTTCCCACTGATCTACCAAGACTGAAACCCCTCTGAGAGCAGGCTCTGGGAGGTATGAAGATAGTGGGGACAAAACAACGTACCTTCACATCTAGGATTCCTAAGAGTCTATCAGGGCAGTTTCAAATCATACGCTTTGGTGTCAGGGACGGAATGTTTATGTCCTCCCCAAATTCCTATATTGAACCCCTAACCCCCAATGTGATGGTATCTGGAGGTGGGGTCTAAGGAGGTAATTAGGGTTAGATGAGGTCATGAGGGTGGGCCCTAAAAGGGGATTAGTAAACGCTCATATGAGGAAGAAAGAAACACCAGGATGGCTCTCCAACAGCACACACCAACGAGAGGCCACCCGAGCGGTCCTTGAGGACTGCAAGCACGCCAGGGGGTTTGCACTAGATCCGGACTCAGATGGTAACATGATCCTGGACTTTCTAGCCTCCAGAACCGAGAGAATTAACTGTTGGCTGTTTGAACCATCCCAGTCTATTGTGTTTCGTTATGGCAGGCCCAGCTAGTCTTGCTAACGTGCTAACACGGTCTTCTTTCCTGGGCAAGTGTCTAAAATGCTTCGCAGTACTTTTTCTGAACCTTCTGTGGCCTCCTACGCGTAATGTCCCCTTTTCCACGAGCCCCGCCTCCAACCCCACCCACTCCCCCACATCACAGGGACTCGACCCACAGGAGCAGTCTTACTCCACTGGTGCATGGCCTGGGATTATAATCACTGGAAGCCCTACTAATTCAGTCTCAAAAGCTACTAAGAACAATTAGCAACTCCTAAGGAAAATTCGGGCTCTGCATTTACTACTATGCTTTAAACTCAGTTACTGCATTCAGGACTCTGCTGAAGAAATTAAAAAACAACAACAACAACAACAACACACACACACACCCCAACAACAACAACAACACTCTTTTTCCCTTTCTCTTAAATGTACACAAAGCTTAAGTAGTATTTGTAAATAAAGGTTAAAAGAGATTTTTCTGAACTGTGGGCTTAAACCTCCAAGTGCAAATTTGTGTCCTACTGATACTGAATTAACTTTCTAAGTAAGTTAGCTTAAAAATGCCATCTTACAGCTCAAAAACTCCATCAAAACCTCGAGTCCTAAAGGGATAAGGAAAGAGCTAGTAAAAGAATAAAACACAAGAAAACGGGCAAGGTAGAATGACCAAATCCTGAGGACTGAAGCCCACAGAGATCCAGAGTCACCGGTAAACGAATTCTAGCTCCTCCGGAGACTTTCTAAGAGAAGACGGAGAAGCTATTAGGCCAATATGCACGAAGCCCAGATCCCAGGGAGCTCTCCAGTTTCTTGGGTACTTGTGACACTGGCTTCTGGTGCATTCTGGCTGGTACTGGAAAGACTTAGCAGCTGAAAGCAAGGATTTGGGACCCTATGAGACAATCATTCTGCACATAAAGGTACAACATCATTCCAACTCCTTAGTAATATCACTAGTCTTGGGTTAATGTTATCTCACGTGAGTAGGAATAAAGATTACCAGGACTTTATTCACTGAATGGGGGGGGGGGGGGGGGAGGAAAAGGGCTATTCTACAATGATTAAAGTATCCTTACGGGCTTACCTTCATTGCCATGTGCGGTCCTTGAGAAAACAAACCAGATATAAAAGACCTTTTGTGGAAAAATGGAGAAAACCAAATACAGAATACAAGCACAGGGGATATTTGGGAACTGTCAATTTTATTAGGTGTGAGATTACGGTAATTTAGGAAAATGTCTTTAGCTTTTAGTACTAAAATACAAAGACTGCAATGACAAAATGTCACAATATGACAGCATGTATTTACGTTAAAATACTTAGGAAAAAAAATGAAGCAAATGTGGCAAAATGTTAAGTTGGTAAATTCTGGTGATGGGTTAATTACTATATCCTCTACTTCCTGGTATGCCTCAAGTTGCAGGACAGAAA